AGCTCAGCAAATATACATTTATAAACCCCACCCCCCACCCCCGCCCACTACTGGAGTGTTGTTTACTGTTAACATTTATAAAGTTATTCTGAGTTAATACATCAATATTTTCACCTCAAATTTTACATTACCCTGCAATCTCTTTGAAGTTATTAATCCCTATGTGTGAACAGGCAATTATAGTGCACACAATGATAACAATCCATGCAAATTCAATAATACATGAAGAAACAATTCCAGAGCCTGAAGGTACATTAGCTAAGATAAACCACCTTTATCTTTAAGGCATGGATACACCTTGAAGAATGAATATTTAGAAAGTAACTAGATTTCTATAAAAATCATGCAAATTAATTTCAGTATCATAATACCACTATACTTCATATTTATAAAATGTTTGTGGACCAATTTTTTTTGCCCTCTTAAACTACCAAATTGCCTATAGTCTATTTAAGGGACTCTGGGGAACACATGTTCTTTGGGAATTAAGCTAAAAACCAGCCTGTGTGTGGTTCATCAGTAGGGCCTCAGGCTGTGAGGACAAGAGGTAGGCAGAATTCAAAACAATGACCAGAAAGAAACCACAGAATTTAAGAATAGAAGCAAAGGTGGATTTACATATGAAACTAAGAAAGCTTGAGTTTTATGGCCCCTTCTAAGACCTTGTCCCTAATTTTGTATTTTTTTTTTCCTAAAGAGAGTTCCAAACATGTAATCCTAAGCTTGTAAAACTTGTATCTGCCCTGAATAGAAGGTCCTTAGAAATCATGAAGATGGACTGTCTGATTTTACAGATGAAGAAACTGAGGCCCTGAAAGGAAAACATGCTGAGGTCAAAATGTGGATGTTTATTATGAATTAGAAGTCTGACTTCCCAGGATGCCTGGGTGGCTCAGACAGTAAGCGCCTACCTTTGGTTTAGGTCATGATCCCAGGGTCCTGGGATCAAGTTCCACATAGGGCTCCTTATTTAGCAGGGAGTCTGCTTCTCCCTCTCCCTCTGCCATGCTCTCTCTCAATCTCTCTCTGACAAATAAATAAATAAATAAATCTTAAAAAAATAAAAATAAAAAAAGTCAGACTTCCCTTGTGTTCCCTGTAGGAAAGACTGCATTGTACTACTTAATTATCCTGCAATCACCACCCTTGGCAGCCCCACAGGCTTCTTCTGAGGCCCTGTGCCCCACCCACAGCCTCTGCTAAAGGAGCAGCCCTCGCCTATTCCCTGAGGAGTAGCTTTGTAGTTTACCCTGTGACCCTGTCCCTCACCCCCACCTCCATTCCGTCAACACAGCTGATTAGACCCTGGGTTGTCACCTGACCCAAGGGAGTCATTCCATCTGGGTCAATGACCTGTGAGGTCATCTGGTATAAAGAGCTCTGCTCAAACATGAAAGACATTGATGAACTAGCCCAGTCAAATTCTCTCTCCTGGAAATGTGAACTAGGGAACATGGAAAGAAATAATTAAGCAGTGGCGAACTAAGCAAGACACCGACTCAGAGAACGGCCGTGCATTCAACTAGGAATCTATCAGTTCTGTCTGCCGAGGAAGAGATGAGATTAGCCAGTTTTCAAACCCTGAGGTACCCTCTAGCTCTAGAATCTCTGAGGTCTAGTTGCATTGTTCTCCCTGAAAGGCCTGGCATGGTAGCTCCAATAGCTGACTCATTTCCAAGTTCCTCTGTATTCCTGTCCCCATGACTACCACTCTTCAGACAGCGTTCTGTCCTTGCGTAAAGTACTTATCAGCAAGAACTCAATTCCATGTTTTTGAAAGCCTTGATAGCAAAAAGAAGGGAAACAACCTTGAAAGTAAGGTCTGATTTCATCTTTGAGGAGACATTGCTTCTTTGTTTTCAGGAAAAGAACTTTAATAGGTCTTTGATTATACAGAAGCAAAGCAAGAACATAGTCTGGAAAGGAGGCAAAAGTGAGAGAGAAGGTGGAGCCACAAAACCCTGCCTTACAAAGTACACAACTTGTAAAGTATAAAGTGTAAAAAAGTAACTTTTTTTTTTCAGTTGTTTAGAAAGCTGGATATTTATTTGGATTTCAGTAATTGGCAAAATTCAGTCTTCTTGAAGGCAAAAGTACCTCTCCCAATTATGGGCAAACTCAAGAAATGGCCTCATCTAGAAACTGCAGGAATTTCACATTGTGGATGCTGTCTGCTAAAGTAAGCACCATTATCAACTATGTCTGGCTTCAGCTTTCCTGGAGAAACAGCAGAGCCATCTCTTCTGCAGCTGCCCAGCTGGCAAGCCCATGCAGTGAATTCCTAGTGCCTGAACTGCCTCTCTAAGGCTGTTCCCTTGTAGACCAGGAAGACTTTCATCTTCTCTGTGAACCTTACGTCGGGACAAGACAGGGCCACTGGCACTCCTGGGTGACAGAGTGAAGCTGTCTCCTGTGACATGGGGACCTGCTGAGTATGGAGGAGTCATCCTCCAGAAGTGGACTCTGAAAGTACTCAGCTAATGAAATACTGAAAGATTCCAGGATTCATGCATCTGCACTGTAATTTTCTTCCATTATAGTATGATAAGGGATGCGGAAAGCGGCCTGGTAGACTGGGGCCTGACAGCTGACTGAGGACACAAGTAATAGTCACAAGAGAACTGAGAAACACAGCACTCTTGAGGGATTGTTGAGTGCCTGAGCAGGGTCTCCTGAGAATGTCCTCTATCTCTAGAAAAAATAGGAAAGGGCTTGGAACATGATTATTTGATTGTTACAGTGAAGCATAACCACTGTATTCTGGAAGTGAGTGGAACACCCAGGTTTCATTAATTTCAAAGAAACTCATTAGCACAGTAAGTAATTATATTACCATCTCTTGTCACCTACAGAAACAAAGGAAGAACTTTAGGTGTAAATAAATGCATGTATATATAAAGGGTTCTAGGTACTTTTGCCATAATCATCTTTGCCATAGACATCTTTGCTGTAAACATTTTTGCTAAAACCTTGTTCACTGCACAGCTAATTGGCTATAGGTAATTTGCCATAAAAGATAAAAAATAACTGGTTGACAGTTTGATTTACCTCTCCATTGATGCAGTACTCCCATTTTTGTATTATATAAATCTTAGCCCTCATGATGGTCTATAAAGCGGAGCAGTTTTGAACCCACATTTCCCACAAACTTTGGAATGTCTATCAATGGGCATATGACAAGATGCCAAGACGACAAGAGTGGCACAGAAACACTTCACAACACAATACAAAGCACACATCCTATATTTGGAAACTGATACCTCTTTTAATGAAGGAAGAGATTTTAGAAAAAAAAAAAATGAGATGCTGAGTGAGGAGGCAAATCAATAAACAAACCAACAATAAAAAATCTATATATAATACTATGAATAAAAGACTGAAGATAAGTGCTTAGGTAAAATCCACAAAATAAAATCAGACATTTGTGCAGTATTGCCATGGATCTACACTATACATTTTGAATGTATTCAAATGTCTTGTTTCATGATGAAATCTTTTTATTATTCATTTTCATGTTTCATTATGTCTTATTAATGAATATCCTTTTAAGTAATATATATAAAGATTAATGTTTATGGTAAAGATGTCTACTGCCAAGATGCTTAGAGCAAACATGCCTAGAACATTTTATATATACATTTTCATTATGCCCCTCTTTTATTTTTCATGATTTTATCTTTTATAGCAAAATTGCCTTGTGGCCAGTTAGTTATGTGGTGAAAATGTTTGTGGCTAAAATGCCTGTAGCAGAGATGATGTCTATGGCAAAGAAGCTTACAGTGAACATATCAGACACATAAATAAAGATTAAGTATCTGCATAAATTTTTTTATGACTGTTTTATTTTTTAAAAGATTTTATTTATTTATTTGTCAGAGACAGAGTGCATACAAGCAGGCAGAGTGGCAGGCTGAGGCAGAGAGAGAAGCAGGCTCCCCACTGAGCAAGGAGCCCAATGAGGGACTCGATCCCAGGACCCTAGGATCATGACCTGAGCCAAAGGCAGCAGCTTAACCCACTAAGCCACTCAGGTGTCCCTTTATTATTGTTTTAAATAAGCATCAGACAACTGATTCAAACAGAACAAAATAATTAAGAAAGTCAGTTAATTCAATGGTTCTTTGAAGTTCTTTCCAATTTCCTGGTTGGCCATTCTTAGCATGCTGGCTTTAACATTAGTTAGCACCCTTCATGCTCCCAAGAAGGCTGAGGCACTTCCAAGGGTCACATCCAGACGTGATAATATACAGAGAAGTACAGAAGTGATCTTTTTCTGAGTATCCTTCTCAGGAGCAAGGACACTTTTCCCAGAAGACTCCCAGCTACCTGACTTCCTTTTACCTCTCACAGGCCTGAATGTGGTTACCTATATACATTCTAGAACTAGTTAGTGACAGAGAGGATGGAATAATCAAGATTGTCTTAGACCTATGGGTTCTCCAACTTGTACTTAGACCAGAGTCACCTGGAGGCTCTTACTAAAGTACCTAAAACACAGGTTACTGAATCCTACTCCCCCAATTTCTGGTTCAATAGGTGTAAGGTGGGGCTCAAGAATTTGCATTTCTAACAAGTTTCCTAGGGGATGCTAATGCAGCTGGTTGGGTATCACAGCTGGAGAACTACCATCTTAGACTAAGCAAAAGGGGTAGTTGGAGCAGTCACCAAAAATGTCTGCTGTAAGATGTAACTTTATCAGGAGAGGACTGTTCTGGAATGACATATTTCTATGAATTTTCTTTTTGAAATTTAAAGTTTCTGTAAGTTGTGCATGTGACAAACAATACTGATTGTGGTATACCGCAAGCCAAAATATGGAAGTAGAATACAAGCTAATGGCCTAGGGCAGAAAATGTGGTTTCAGTAAATGTCACCCATTGTCACAAACATCCACCCATCCTGCCCTACACACTGTGCTACTCCACACCCCTTCCTTTGCATATTTCTATTCTCTGTTTCAAGGCCGAGGCAGTTTCAACCGCCTACCTGCTGAAGTGGTATTGACCTCAGCCCTGTCTCTTGGCAGAGGAGACAATACGAGTGTAAGAAACAGCTCATTGTTTGGAGGAAACTAAGCCAAGCAGCTTGATGTTTTTGCAGCATAAAATATGAGGCTGGAAGTGGTGTAAGGTAAGGCCCTAGATTTGGACAAGAGCAAAACCACAGAGGGCTTTGTGGGATGTTGAGGAGCTTGAACTCAATCCTGTGGCCTTAGCAGCCACTGTGCAGAGACATGAAGTGGTTAGATTTTGGTTTCATTTAGATCACACTGGTTGTGTGGAAGGCAGACTTGAAACAGGGAGGCCCACAGAGACTGGTAGTCCAGACTAGTGTCACAAGGCCTGAAGGAGAGCTGAGATAGTAGGCTTACAGAAGATAGAGATCTGGGAAATATTCAGAAGGTCAAAATGTACAAATCTGATTATCTGTTAGATGTAGAAGGTCTAGGTATTTCTGAAGTTTTTACTTTCAGTGAGAATAAAGAAGTGAGCTGTTATGGGTGTGAGGATGGGTGGTAATACAGGGACACAGGGAGATGAAATCAGTTTTCAATGCCCTGTATTTAAAGTGCTGATCCCTCTGTACATGAAAGTCAGGCATATTTGGGTAGGTTTGAGGAAGAGGCTACACTAGCGATAGAGATTTTGGAGTCAACCATAGTTAAATCAGGAACATGAATAGATCACCCAGGAAAAGCATGAAAGTTACAAAGGCTTTTAGCTAAGGATGGGGCCCTGGGAAAGTCCAATATTAATATGGCAGGCAAAGGAGGAGGTGGCAGTCAAAGACAGCAAAGGTAGGAAGAAGACTAGGGTATAGATTATCAGGTTCAAGGTCACAGAGTTTGAAGCAGGAGGGAGTGGTCAACATCATAAATATGGTACAGAAGAAGTTCCTTAAGATAAAGCTTGGGGGATGGGGGGAACAACTTGACAGCATTTGGACTTTGGGAAGGCATAAACATTCCAGGGGAGTATCTGGGCATCTGAGCTGAGCTATAAGAGGTAAGTGGAGACTCTTTTTTTTTTTTTTTTTTTTTTAAGTTTTGATGAGAAGGGCATGGAAAGAAAGCAGGTAGTAGTCACTGAGGTAGAGGGCAAGGTTACGAACTCAAGTAAAGGATTAAATTGAGAGGGGTTATGAAGGTTTGGGATTAGTCAGAGGTAACTGTTCTTTAGGTGTTAGTCAGAGGTAACTGTTCTTTAGGTGTTCTCAGAGGGTTGACCCTGTCTATACCTGAGGTTCTTTCATTTTGCAGAGCTTTTGCAACCACAAATTCAGCAAATGATATATTTTTAAAGGGACATGCCAATGGATGTCAGGAAATATCTTTGAAAAATTCCTAAAGGAATAGATAGGTATACATGGCAGAATGTATTTTGTAAAAACGGCCACAGCAGTATTTCCAAGCCCACATGGGAGGGACTTTGTAACTAACTGCCTTAATGAATAGAATGCAGAAAGATGCTGTGTGACTTCCAAGGCAAAAAGGCAATGCAGCTTCCAACTTGTTCTTTATGTGAGGATGCTACCATGCTGTGAGGAAGCCCAAACTGCCCACATGTCTAGTGGCTGATGCTGGTTGTTGGCTAGGCTCTAAGGGCAAGCATCCCCCCAAAAAAGGAGCCAGTCTGAAGCTGTATTGTCCTTTGCTTTGGAAGTCACAAGGGTCATTTCTGTGCCCTGTCTGAATTCCTGACCCACAGACTCTGTGAGCATGATAAATGGCTGTTCCATGCTACTAAGTTTTGGAGTAATTTACTCAGCCATAGTAACTGAAACAGCATCCAAATATCCATTCAAGTGAACATGAATATTAGGGAGAAACAAGATATGTCTGTATCCCAGATACAGTCACAAGACATACTGGAGGTTACTATTCTGATCCCTCTTGAATGCAAGACAATATTTTTACACACTTCCCAGACTTCAGCTTAAATGTACCCTAAATGTCTATTCTAAGCCATAACTTTATCGCTAAAGTGGACTTTATTTAAAATACTTTGTGAACTCTGAAGGTTTTGTTTTTTGTTTCTGTTTTTATTTTGCTATTTTTGTATTCATGGTAATTGGTCTTTTATTCCATCTAAGTAGCTTTCCAGTGTGCTAGTCTACTTTCAAAAATAATTTATTGAGCCCCTATACTACCTTTTCCTATCCTTGGGCATTAACTTAGACATACCCATACAGGTCTTATTTTAAAACAAGCCTTACCAATATGTCAAAATAACAGAGCTGAAATATTTTTCAGATCATTAAAGAGCAAAATAATTAAAATCATCTTAGTAATTTCTAAGAAATGGCTAAGTAACATCTGAGAAAGCACATGTACATAAAACTGTATTTAAAACACTGACCATGGTTTCTACTTAATTTCTATTTTAATATTTTGGAGCTTACATGCAGAAAATTGAGATAATCATGTTTTAATTTTGGGTACATTATTTTCTACTTTAGACTGAGTACACTGTCAGTTAAAGGAAAATATACAAGGTATTTTTTTATACCACTGACTAAATACTAAGTATATCAGCATAATTTCTCTTCCTTTACAATGACCTTGACTTCCCCAGAAACCTCCTACCTCCATAATCACCCATTAAATAGCATACTCTCTGATTACAGCTTCTTACCATTGGGACTCACTTTCTCAGGAATCCCCAGTGTCTTAGCCAGAGCTTCATTCTCATTGATCCTTCAGATCCACTGATCTCCTGCCTCATTTTCCTCCTCATATTATATGAGCATCATCTCTTTGGCTCCTATCACAGCATTTCTTGTTTCTACTCAAGTCATAACTGCCTAGAAAACTCTAGGATGGATGGATTGAATCACCCACTTTCTCATGTCTGTGCCTGCAGTAACTTGCATGCTGCTGAAGAAAAGTCACCCATGGACAGAGTACAGTTATCCTATAACTGCATGAGTGCCAATATTAGAATCTCATATGGTGCCTGTGTGTGAATTAAAATAAGCGGCCCCTTCCTCAAAACACTTCTCTGTTGGAAGTGTTCTGGTTCTGTAAGAACAAGATACTTCATTGCCCTCTGCCACTAACCTGTCATAAAACATATACAAATCTATGCTTACGATGTGAACAGCACCCTTCTTAGGTATGTCAAGCTTGTGCAATACACAACCGGCACAGCTGTACACATGGCACTAATGACTACCTTCAACTAGGGCCTCAAGCCACTAAATGTTCCTTTAGTCAAATATGTTATGCTTTGTCCTACTTTCTTAAACCCAACTCTCCCCCACCCCTTTATTCTCAGGGGATGTCTATTTCTGATCCTTCAAGGAAAAAACTATAGCCATCGTATGAGAATTCCCTAATTTTCCTACCACCAGATCCACAATCTTTCCACCATTTCTTCACTGCCTGCTCCCCTCACCCTCCTGTTCTTTCCTCTTCCTACTAAAGACTACTCTCTTTGTGTGGGCTCTGTATTCCAATCCTTCTAGTCTTCTACACAAGGACCCTCTAGCACCATGACAGCCCTTTCTCTTTGTTAACTTTGTACTTTGTCTCCCTTCCATTTCTCATCTGCAGTCAAACATGCTTTAGTGTCCCCTATCAGGAAAAATCAGGCTTAGTCTTCTGTCCTCCATGTACTCTACTTCCCATCCAAGCTTCTCAAAAAGAGATGTTCCCACATCCATCTACCCTTTTCCTAATGTCTCCCCATTTTTCTTTCCATATATGCACATTTATTCAATAATTCTGTAAAGTGTACTTGTCTAATGCTAAATCCAGAAAGACCTTTTATTCGTATTCATCTTTACATAACAGTGGGGAAATTCAGAGTTGACAGATTCTTCCTTTGAAATAACTTCATTTTTTTTTTTTGGTTGCCATGACACCAAATAATCTTGCTTTCTCTTCATTTCATTGGTTTCTCCCATACCTAACCCTTAAATGCTTAAATTCGGATCCTTTTTGTCTTTGTATTCCAAACCCTCTCCTAAGGGATCTCATCTTTTCTCATGCATTATCAGTCACAGATACCAACAAATCCTAAACATAAATATCTTATCTAGTCCTCTTTGTGGAGCTCCAAAATGAAATATACAAACCCACTTGGGAGTATCTCATACTCAACTCCTACATAAGATACTTGAAGAATGAGTTAGTGTTCTTACGCTCCAATTTGCCTTTCATCCTGTCTTCCATGGCTCAATAAATGCTACCTCTCTCTACTATGCCAGATACCTGGGACCCATCCTCAACTCTTCTTTCTCTCCCCATCGGCAAGCCTTCACCAATTTCCATATGTGTTAACCCCAAAGCAGATCTCAGGTGCCTCAACCTTCCTTCATACTGATTACTGCTACTCTTGTCCAAGCCACCATCATTAGTCACCTTAATGATACATTAATATTTTCCCACAATCCATGCCTGTCCTCCACTCCCTTCCTCACCCATTTCTTAGTACACATCCAAAAATATGACAGAATAACCATTTAAAAACACAAATCTGATCATTTCACTCCTTTTCTTAATAGCTTCTCAGGATACCTGGACCTAAATTCTAAGACCTTTACCCATTCTACAAAGTCCTCCATGACCTGGCTCTTGCCCTTTGCTGACTCTGCTCTCACAAGCTGGGTCTCTTTCCTCCTAGCCCTTTCCCACCCCAGGACTTTCACATATTCTGTAACTTCCACACAGAGCTCACCCTTGAAACTTGGCTGTCACCATTGTATCCTCAAGCTCTAAGCTAAAATCAGTGACCAAACACAGAACTCTGCTTTTCCTGTCTAAACGAGGTTCCAGTCACACACTTCCAGAGTGTAATAATTTTCTTTTGAGTTATGTTTTCCTCAGTATGAAATATTTATTTTATGTCTATCTCTATCTCCCTATCCCTATCTCCTCCATGAGGGCAGAGATCATGCCTGTTCTGCTGAGCACTGTATCCCTGGTACTGTGCATAGTAGGGGCATGAAACATTTGTTAAATGAGTGAATGCTAACACTTAATGGCACCTGTGAACTTAGTATTGCTCTTCTTCTTCTATTATTTCAATGGGTTGAAAACTATATTAATGGGAGTTTGTTAAGAATAAGGTAGCTAGCTTGTCCAATTTATATAAAATAGCACCTAGTAATGAGATGGTCAGATAGCCAGGAAATGCCTTGGGGAATGCTACATGTTGGTATCTACAAACTTATATCTATCACTTATATTCATATAGGATTTGTTTTCCTTAAATTGCTGTCTCCCATTAAGCTGTGTGCCCTCAAGTTTGCCTAACAACATGTGTGCTCAATGGGAGGAAACTGACACATGTTTGAAGAATGAGTTACACCAAGCTGAGGATGGAAACTGCCAAAGCACCAGAAGTAGAGCACAGAGAAACCCCAGGACTGTTTTGGAAAAATGAAGAAAATGCAGGAAACAGGCCAAATGCCATGGGATACAGAGGTGCTGACTGGTAAGGAGAGTTGCTGGATTAAAACATCTACTACAAACATAGCTCCCTGTTTCCAACTGTGGTATAATCATGTAAAGACAGGCAGAAAAAATGCTGGAAGCAGCTACATTGCTGATTCTCAGGGTGCATGTGTGTTCTCACACTCCCACGCTTGTGCACCCTCATTCTCTAGCGCTCTCTCTCTCTCTCTTTCACACACACACACACACACACTCTCTCTCTCTCTCTTCTCCAAAACCTGGTACTGCCTCTAGGCGTCCCACATAAAGGTAGTCATCATAATTCTTTTTTTCCTTGTTCTCTTTTCACCAAATAAGCAGAGCCTTAGAATCCAGAAGTAACTTTAAGCTTCTTTCCTGCTATTTCCCAGGCAGAAAGCCTGACTGGTAAATGCAGTCTCATAACCAGCTCTCAACCAAGTCATGCCCTGGCTGAAAGGGGCATTCCATCTGCAGTCAGCCAGGAAAGTGTCTGTGCCAGTTCTATCTGGTTCTCCAACGAGACCATGTGTGAATCACATTCTGGGAGCCTCTACTTTGCTCCTTATGATGTCGCTGTCATGGCACAGGAACTATGACTTATAAAATGAAATATGAACAAAATAGAACACTCTGAGTGTGAGTAGTTATTATTAGAGGTTATTCCCTCCTCTGCATTGTGAATTTTAATTGGAATAGATATACATTTAGTTTAAAGTGGCAAGTTCACCCAATTTAGGTGGGACTTCATGTACCCTCCTGAAGTTCTAAAGGGACAGGAATCTAAGGAAATGCCATACATGGACCATAGTATTCATTTGAATACCGAGCAACCAAGCAGTCTCTCTTAAAGGTGTATGTCTTATCCACCCAACCAAATTGTAAAATTGAGGAGGGAACTATTTTATATATCTGTTTTATTTTCCATGGTATCCAACACAGCAGGCACATTCAATAACTGGTCACTGAAGCCAACGAGGGAAGATCAAAGCATGGAAAAGAAGCCTGGAGTTTCTGTGGACAGTCGATTTATCTTTGAAGTGAATGTTCTTTTTGCAAATGTTAACTTTTTGCTCCTAAATCAAAGCGAAATGGTAAAACAACAACAACAACAACAACAACAAAAACACACACACACACACACACACACACACAAAACACAAAAAAAACACACACAAAAGAAACAAAACAAAACCCACAAATATTGCCATAGAGAAGGCAAACACTTGGGAATTCACATCTCCTTTTCAAAAATCCAATTCTCTCCTTGATCAACATTCCCATTAATTTTCAAGTTTCTGTCCATCACAGAAGGGTCAATCTGCCTCTCTGGGAACCTTTTTCTTTCTTTTTTCTTTTTTTTTTTTTTTAAGGACTTTATTTATTTGACAGAGAGAGATCACAAGTAGGCAGAGAGGCAGGCGGGGGTGGGGAGCAGGCTCCCCGCTGAGCATAGAGCCTGAGGTGGGGCTCGATCCCAGGACTCTTGGATCATGACCTAAGCCGAAGGCAGAGGCTTTAGCCCACCGAGCCACCCAGGCGCCCCTGGGAACCTCTTTCAAGGAGACTCAGGGAAGCCAAAATCCTGACCCGTGCTTCAAGGAAAAACTCTGCCTTTACAGAAGACACAACATAAGATGCAAAAAGGACAAGGCAAATCTTTCTTATTCAATTCGCAGGAAGACAAGGAGGAACAACAATGTTGTAAAGTGCTTTTGAAAACAAGAATCATTCTCTAGGTAACAAGGGATCTCAATTAATGCACAAACAGGCATATAAAAATGCTTGACAGAACAAATATAAAAGAAACAAGATTTCTGACTGAAGCAGAGGGGAAAAAATAATAAAAGGTACCAAAGGGAGTCACAAAGCATGGTCTTAAAGTTCCTCAAAAGGTATATGAGGTCTCTACCTAGAGGAAGCTTACACAGTTCCTTAGTAAGGTAGAAACAACAGTCAGGTAAGGTTGATAGTATACTTCCCTCTTTGGTTAAAAGCAAAAGTCTTCCCAGATCCCTTCACCAGATGCAACTGTCATGTGGACAGACAGACACATCTGAAGAGGACACAACTGTCATGTGGACAGACAGACACATCTGAAGAGGACACAACTGTCATGTGGACAGACAGACACATCTGAAGAGGACACAACTGTCATATGGACAGACAGACACATCTGAAGAGGACACAAGATCATCCACTGGCTCCTGCATCTAAAACATCCAAATGAGTCTACCTCCTACTGCTATAAAATCTACAGAAAACAGAGGATGTTTTCAGCTCCTTAGGACTCTCCCCACATTAATAGTTATTGCTTTAGTATCTCTACTGCCAAGCAGTGCTTCAACCTGTTCTGATGATAACATGGTCCAGTTAAACTGGAGTGTGGGCCAGCACTGGATGGACAAAGTGGGCAAGGTCACAGGGAACATGGTTAACAGATAAGCACAGTAGATCTTTGAGCAGAGATGCAGCATGACAAGACCATCAAGACCATTAGAGAAGGTACTATTTTGTATGTGTCTGTATATGGTGGTTGGAGGGGGAAGGAGAAGACTATGAAAGGGGCAAGAAAGACAGGGGGGGGTCATATCTGTTAGAGGTCTTTTATTAAAACCCCAGGTGATAAAAATCCAGAACTGGTGTTGCTGCATGAGACTCAAGAGGAAGGGACCAGGACAAGGGGTATTCTGAAGGAAGTCTCAGTGGGCGATATGATGGCTGACTGGATAAAGGGAGTGAGGATAAGGAATGTGTCAGGTTTGAGTCTGGAGTCTCGAGACTGGTAGAGCCATCAACAAAGCCAGGTAAATTGTAAGAACAAAAGGCTTATCTGAGGAGGAGACTAAACATGGGGAGAGGACAGTATCATCTCAAGTGGATTGCAGATTGTGAAGAGACTAGTGTTTCCTATGGGGTCCCATTATCTTAAGTAAAAAACTAGGCTTAGTGGATGAGATCAGTGATCGATACTGAGAACATAGTTGTACCTGGGACAATGTACTAGGTCACTTACAGAGTTTGAGGATAGTGAAAGACAGAGGCTAGACAGAGGATCTGATGACGATTTTTGAGGGATGCCTTCTAGTCAGCTTGAGAAAGAAAAGGAGCCTGTTGGTGAAATGAAAGGACGGAGAAAGGAAATTTTCCAGAAGAAGCAGATTAGTGAATAGCTGAGAAATCACTTCCTCCCTACTCCCAGGACTTTGGGAATAGGTCATGGCACTGGTGTTATCATATACGTGTCTGCCTCTCTTCCAGCATGGAGGGAAACACTAAAGGCAGAATGTAGTCTCCCTCACTACCTGGCTGGGAGTTTGCAAGGGGATTGCCTCTCAAGCCTGTCTTGGCTCCAAACAGGATCAGCTGCATCCAAGTAGAGCAGTGCAGCTGATGACAGAGGGCATAATTTAGCCCCCCAGGATATCCTTGGGCTCTTGGGTAAGGAAAGGAAGAAATCCAGAAGATTTCACCTGACCTGCAGAAGGAAGTGGAAGGTGGCTGAGGGTGCAGGTGGTGAACTTGATAGGGAGGGGCCCCGGGTTGAAGGCCAAACTGGAATCTAAGGTAGTCTGAGTTGCCATTAGGGTGATTTGTCAAGGAAAGGTCGCTGAAGCTCCTAGAACATTACCAGAGCCAAGGAAGAGACCAGGGCTTATCCTAGCCATAGGCTTCAGGGACATACCATGCAAGCACAGACTAGCCATATTGCAGCAAAGACAAGGAAAAGAGCCAGGGGATTTAGGGTGGTTTTAAGAACACCATCCTCCCTGCCCAATTCTAGGACGTAGTCAGCCCAATGCCCTCCTGGGGAGGAGAAGTAGGATGAAATTGTGAAAGAGCATTCCAAAGAGACTAAAACTAGTGTTAGTAGGAAGATACATTTTGAGTAGATTCAGTATTTAAACTGAAACAAGGGAGAATATTTACCCTCTTTTAACTGATAAATCTTTAAGTCCCTACCATGCATTCTCATAAAGAAAACACTTCTGGTCTAGAAAATAAGGACTTATGTATGTAGAGGTGACCTGAGTAAATTTACAACCTCTTCCCATCTGGTCCACGTTCTGTGTGAGGATAAGAAAGTTATTTAACCTCTTCAAGCTTCAAAATCCTCATCTGTCAAGAGGGGATAATGATATCTATCCTTTGAAGAATTTTAATGAGCTTATTTATGTAAAATGCTGGCACAAGAGAAATATTTAGTAATGTGTTTACTAATTCTGTTATCATTTCTACTATACATTCAACTTCAAAGTCTTATTTGTCTTACTCAAGAATGGCTGACATTTGTCAAGAAATGCCAAAGTACTATATTCTTGGCATTCTTCATTTATGATTTCACAGCCTCTCATCTATCCCCGCAAGAACAGAAATGTCATTCTGCAACAAATGAGCAGTACTGTTTTCATACTATCCCTGACTCTTCCTCATCCTTGGTACTCACTACAGAAAGTACCTCAAAGCCAGGACATTATTTCTTTTGAATAATGTTAACCATAACAAGCCACAGAGTACAATGACGGCAGTTTTGCAGGACCTGGTGGTGAAGCCTTCTCAGTCTTAGACTGATCTAGTCCTAAGTGTATGGACCAGTGACAGGCAGTAGACAAACCACAGGAACCAGGAAGGATGCAGGGGAGTGGGGGAGCGGGATTTATTTGTAATGGGATATATGCATGTTAGTGCCAGATTGCCTGGAAAATTCCCTGTGTTGAACATATATAAATTAATTCTCAGAATTGTTTGCTGTGCACCCACAAGGCAGCATGATCTTGAGTAATCAGTTCTAGATATTAACTAACCTGAGGCTCCATTCTAGCTTTTTCAAGTTTTCCGAGTCAGCGTGGAGAACACTAAGGAGGGTTTAGTGGAAACAGGAAAACAGATTTAATTAGCAAGGTTAATACAGATTGTTGATGAGCAAAGTAAGTATATTTGAGTGTCTGTGGTATACAAATCTCCAGGCTCTAGGGTTTAAGAAAACATATATGGTGATTACCAAAAAGCACAATAATGCTT